AGTGTTTTCGGACGGTACTAGCTCTTACTGCCAATATAGGAGTATTACATATACATATGCTTTATACCATGCAAGGCACATTGAACAGGTAGTATCAGTAGAGCAAAAACAACATTTGCGTGTATTTTGTTGTTGCTTCTGGTATCGAAAGTGTCAAAAACTGTTCTGAATTTTTTCTTCTAAATCAAAGCGTGCCATGTGAAATACAAAAAATTATAAAAAATAAAAAATTGAAATTGGAAAAAATAAAAATTGATGCAACTTTCTTTCCTAGTAAATTTGTTTGCTTCTCGAAGCATTGATCCATCCTTTGCAAGGCCCAGTAATCAGCGGTCGTGCTGCTGAGTTGTGCGAACGTTCCAAAAGCTGCTATTCAATCGCTTGTTTTGTATGGAAAAAGGTTTCACATGCAAATGGATTTTAACAATTCAGAATTTTTGTGAGAAAAAATTAAAAATATTTGACATTTTCGAGACCAAATAATTTGAAAATAAATCAAATCAGCTGCTATACTGATACTACCTGTTCAATGTACCTTGATACCATGTAAAATATCATCGATAGTATCGATAGTCGATTCTATCGATAATGACATCGATGCTTTGCCATCACAAATTCAACAGCTGTTGCCGGGAACACGTTGCAGTTTCGCTGCTCGTTTAGCGTTTTTTATTTTCTTTGCGTATTTGAGTGTATTTATTCAATTCCAATAAAACAACACAGACATTAAACGAAAAGGTAAGTATATATTTCCCGCAAATACGAGCGATCCTTCAGTACAAACAGGAATAATACATCTTCACTGTAGATTGCACATTTTGCTACGCCACGAGTGCAATCTGATGCAATAACGTGGACAGCTATGCACTCAGTGATTCATGTTTTATTCAAATTGCTAATCTCTGTATTAAATTATAGGCAAACATCGAACGAAAGGGCACCTTTAAGGTGGAGTATCTTCAGAAAATTGAGCGTGATATGCAGCAACGCTGGGAAGCTGAACATGTACACGAAACTGATGCGCCAGCTGAGCCACGCCAAAGTCTGGATGAGAAGTTCTTTGTCACTTTTCCGTTTCCCTACATGAATGGTCGCCTACATTTGGGTCATACATTCTCGCTATCTAAAGCCGAGTTTGCTATGCGTTATCATCGGCTAAAGGGACGACGTGTGCTTTGGCCATTTGGTTTTCACTGCACTGGCATGCCTATTAAAGCATGCGCCGATAAGTTGAAACGAGAATTGCAAGACTTTGGCTATCCGCCTAAATTTCCGTTGGAAGAAAACTCAAATGTTCCCGTAGAGCCGGAACAAGGCGAGGTGCCAAAAGACAAATCCAAGGGTAAGAAGAGCATGGCAGTTGCCAAAACAGCTGCCGCCAAATATCAGTGGCAGATTATGCAAAGTCTTGGGTTGAAATACGAGAAGATAAAGAATTTCGCAGAAGCAGAATACTGGTTGAACTATTTTCCGCCTCTGTCTATCAAGGATCTAAAAAGTCTAGGCCTTCATGTAAATTAAAAACTTTGTACGTTGGCAATTTCTCCATCTAAAAAATCGCGGCAAAGTGATGTACGGTAAGCGTTACACCATTTACTCGCCAAAAGACGGTCAACCATGCATGGATCACGATCGTTCAACGGGCGAGGGGGTAGGCCCACAAGAATACTCCTTGATTAAAATGAAGTTGCTTGAAAAGCCAGCAAAGCTGAGGTAGGTGATTAATATTTCAATGAAAATTCCAACATTACTAAAAACAAACTGAAACCATTTCAGCGGAGTTAATGCACCCATTTATATGGTGGCCGCCACGCTCCGCCCAGAAACTATGTATGGCCAGACAAACTGTTGGTTGCATCCTGATATTAAGTACATTGCCTGGCAAACATCACGCTCAAATGAGGTGTGGATTAGCACACGTCGCGCAGCGCGAAATATGTCTTACCAGGGCTTTAGTGCCGAAGAAGGAAAGGTGATAGAGATCGCCGAGCTGATTGGTCAGGATTTGTTGGGCACACCGCTTGCGGCGCCAATGACAGCACACAAAGTTATCTACACTTTGCCAATGTTGTCGATTAATGAAGATAAAGGCACGGGGGTTGTGACGTCTGTACCTTCCGATTCGCCTGATGATTATGCGGCCTTAGTAGATTTGCAGAAAAAAGACGCATTCCGTCAAAAGTACAACATCAAGGATGAGATGGTACTATCTTTTACGCCCGTGCCTATCATAGAGGTGCCCACGTTGGGAAAAACATGTGCTATCTATGCCTATGAAAAATTTAAAATACAGTCCCAGAATGACAAAGATAAATTGGCTGAAGCGAAGGAGCTTTGCTACTTGAAAGGTACACCTTGATATACCACTTTACGTTTGAAGTAATGCATACTTTTATAATTTTATTAAGGATTTTACGATGGCGTACTTTTGGTTGGTGAATTCGCTGGACGAAAAGTGCAGGATATAAAGAAAGATTTACAGAAAAAACTTTTAGCCGCGAATGAAGCAGAAATCTATTATGAACCAGAAAAACTAATTCTTTCCCGTTCTGGCGATCAGTGTGTAGTGGCACTTTGCAATCAATGGTATTTGAACTACGGCGAGCCTGTGTGGCAAGCGCAGACCAAGAAGATGCTAGATGGCATGGAGGTATACCACGAAGAGGCGCGCAATAACTTCGAAGCATGCTTGAATTGGTTGCACGAATACGCCTGCTCTCGAACTTATGGGCTTGGCACAAAGCTGCCGTGGGACCAACAGTGGCTTATTGAATCGTTATCCGATTCCACAATTTATATGGCTTTCTACACAGTTGTGCACCTACTGCAAGCCGGATCTTTTAGAGGCGAAACACCGAGTCCACTAGGTAAGAATGAGCAGTTGCATGAGTAGGGAATATCAGACGAAGTCCCTATGGAAGATGCAGCACTTGCTTAAGGCTAGTCGAATTTGGCTTAGTTTAATGTTTGTTATGTTAAATGTATATTTTACTCATTTTTAAGGCATTACCGCCAAAGATATGATACCCGACGTGTGGGATTACATTTTCTTTAAGGAAACTCCCTATTCCGATAAGCTGCCGGTAAAGAAAGAATCGCTAGACATTTTGCGTCGCGAATTCGAGTACTGGTACCCTATGGACCTACGTGTCAGCGGCAAGGATTTGATTAATAACCATCTAACATTTATGCTCTATAATCATGCTGCCATTTGGCCAAATAACGAAGACAAGTGGCCTTTGGGCACCCGAGTCAATGGTCATCTCCTGCTAAATTCCGCAAAAATGTCCAAGTCTGATGGCAATTTTCTTACACTCTACGAAGCCGTTGAGAAATTTTCTGCAGATGGTACGCGACTTTGTCTGGCCGACTCCGGCGACGGCGTAGAAGATGCCAACTTCGTTGTAAGCACTGCCGATGCTGGTATTCTTCGGCAGTACACATTTATTGAGTGGGTGAAAGAGATGCTAGCTTCACGTGCATTGCTCCGTAAAGGCGAACCGGACACTTTCAACGACAAGGTGTTCATCAGTGAAATGAATCTGAAGACGCGCGAAACCGACGAGAATTATCGCAAAATGTTGTTCAAAGAAGCGCTTCGCACTGGTTTCTATGAGCTGCAACTAGCGCGTGACAAATATCGCGAGCTGTCTGGGGTGCAAGGTATGCATGAGCAGTTGGTGCTGGAGTTTATACGCCGCCAAGCACTTCTTGTGGCGCCCATTTGTCCACATGTCGCCGACTATGTGTGGGGCCTGCTAGGCAATAATCAGTCCATAGTGCACGCGCGCTGGCCTAGCGTAGGCGAAATCAAAGACGTTGATATTAAACGATCTGAGTATTTGATGGAAGCGGCGCATTCGTTCCGTCTCAATCTGAAGAATTTACTTCATGTGAAGGGCAAGGGTGGCAAGGAGAAGGCAGTGGACCCGGCAAGTGTCAAGCCGGATCGCGCATTAGTCTGGGTGGCCAAAACATACCCACCATGGCAGTGTTGTGTGCTCGACACGCTGCGTGAGTTGTATAGTAAAGATGGCAAGTTTCCGGATAATAAAATTATTGCTGCAACGCTGCAGCAAAAGGAGCAGCTAAAGAAGTTCATGAAGCGTGTAATGCCCTTCGCGCAAATTATACGCGAGAAAGTGGAAAGTGGCAAAGGAGTTGATGCGCTCGCCATCAATTTGGAATTCGACGAGCGACAAGTGCTGCTTAACAATCTGGACTATCTGAAAAATACATTAGATGTAGGTGTTGGTTGGGAAATGTTAAGCTACAGAAGAATATTAATTGACTATTTTTCTGTTCCTTAGGTGATTGACTTAGAAGTTAAATACACAGACGATCCCAGTGCACCAGAGAAGACGCGTGAAGAGGTGCGTCCTGGCTCACCTTTCATAGCGTTTATGATAGCGCCGAATGTGACAGTCGAACTGGTAAATCCAGTTGAGCGATCTGGGATGTTTCAAGTAAACACAGTCATTTGTGAAGGCGACACGGTAAAGCAGTTGATTGAAAAACTGGCAAGGTTTATAAACTTTAAAGGTGTGTGCAGTCATTTAATGAATTATAAACGACTAAGCGCTCCATAAACGAATTTATTTAATTAATTTTCTTTTTTATCTAAAATCTTTTTGCTAACATTTTTTGCCAGCGGGTTTTATATGTATCCATAATATGTATTTTTTTGCATTCGCAGCTGTCCTGTCAACTCTCAAAATTTGGCGCTATGATGATCCAGCGCTTGGACCACGCCAAATTCCATTATTCCAAGATTACAAAACCGGCAAGACTCCATTGACCGAGGGCGAATTTTTAATAGATGTAGAGAAGAAGCAGGTTTCATTGAAAGTCGATGATAAAGTTGTCGAAGTTGGTCGCCAATTCATATATGTGGTTGATTAACGTGCCCCATTAAGATATTAAAAAAATTTGTTAATTTATTTAAATAAATTACTTTACAGTAATTTATAATTATTTAAATTATATAATATTATATATATAATTAAATCATATCACAATGTTCTATATATTCTGTGCGCATATGTACATAGAGTATGCTATAAAACTCTGGGCGATCAAGATTGTTGCGTGCACAATTAAAAAAAGAAAACACCATTTAATAGAAATGTGGTCTAGATTTGAGGGGCGGCTATTGCAGCTATGCGTGCTATATAAGGTGCAACAAGTTTCTTGATAAGGCACAGTTTTTCTTGGAGTTATTGACGTATGTGGAGTGAGTTCGGTGTTCGGAGTTTTTTATGCAGAAGATTAATATTATGTCGGGAACTAAGTCATATTGTTTAGCTGTTACTGTTTTGGTATTATGTGGATTAATGCAGGAAGTGTGAGCTGGAGGTATGTTGAATATTTTTTTTCTGTTTTAACTAGTTATTTACCGAGAACTATTTTTTTTTCTAATATTTTGTTTAAAACTAGTAACCGTTGTTATTGTAAAAAATACAGGAAATAATCTGGTTTAATTGGAAAGCCGAAGTGTTGAGCCTTCATTGAAGTTCATGACTTATAGAAGTACATTCAGTGAAGATAATTCAAAAAGTCGCCTTGCTGGCAAAAGTCTTGGATTGTACTTTTACCAATACAGTTTGTTCGGAGATTCCAAATTCGAAAGAACTATAAAAATTTATTTTTGGTTGTTTGTGTTTCCGACAGGGTATGATGTATTGTGGAACGTTTTTCCATCATCCCTTGTCAAATTTGGTTTGGAGACAAACCGGTTTCATGGAACGAAAAATGAAACTGAAGTTGGCACAACCCGAAACCGGACAAGGGATGACGGAAAATCGTTCCACAATACAACTATAAAAATCCTTAACAACGTTTTGCCTCGGAATCTTATCATACTTGGGTTTTGGCAGCATGCAAATTTATCAAACGCCGACTTGGATTCAATTACCCAATGCAAATTAAAGTGGAAATTAGAACGTCCCTGAGGATACTATATTTCTGGCAGCTTTTATTTTAGTTATATTGGAGCCCCTCAGCCAGAGGATGAAGATTTGTGCATAGTGACGATATTTCGATGCTGTGGTTCGCCAAAGGAGACTGAAGACCTGAGGTCGAAAGCAAGCAGCTACCTCTCCGATCTAGCTCGCTTTTTCACTGTAAAGTTACCTTGATTAATATCAGGACAAAAGGGGTAGAGCTGTCAAAGGAACCCACACGAATTGCACAGTTTCTGACGGTTAAAAATCTCGTGTCACCTTTAAGAGTTGCCCCCTTTTGCCGCACCAAAACAAAGTCTTCAAATCGCTCTTACGCAGTACTCGGATGAAAAAACGTTGTTGAGAATATGCGAGTCTATTGGTGGAGAGGTTTTAAGTTGCGCTGTGATTTTGTGGTTATCCTGAACTAATAAGACGCAATGAACGAAGACACAGGGGTTCATAAAACAACCTCTGGACCCGACAGCATACCGACAGGCCATAAACGGCATTCACAGGGAGTCGGTCTCAACTTACATCGATTCCCAAACTATCGCCGACGATAGCACAATTTCGCTGTGGATATTGCAGAAATCTTAACTCTTATCTGATCAGAGTGAACTCATTTGTGCCCGACGAGTGCCCGCCATGCGGAGTGTCGTGAAATGACTCACTTCCTTCTTCACTCACTTCACAGCGAGGAAGGGCTCGGAACTGATAGGAATGTTAGCTGCAGTCTCGTTTCCAATGCTGTTCGCTATCTTATTTCACACTATTCGTTACAAATTCTCCGGTAATTTCCAGATAAATTGAACTCCGCGCGCAGACTAATTACATAGCCATCCGCCTACCTTGTTTATTATGGAGTAAGCCTCTCTTTAAAAATCATGGTTTTACTCATGTCTCTACGAAATAGAGCTAGATGTAGCGCAGGCCCCAGCTTTAACTTTGCGTTACCATATCCTTCTCCACCAAAACTTAGTACAGCTCATTTTGCGTTTTGCTCTATGGTTAGGCGAAGAGGCTTAAGTTCGAGGATGGTCGGCAAACATATGTAGTTTTTGAATCGCACCCTCGTTTTACGTGGCTACTGCTATACTTGGATCTTAGGGATGCAACCACAGGGCTCACCTGCCAGACGCTTGGGCACCATTCGGACTCTCGAAGCTAAGAAGAAAGTCGAGTGCAAATGTTTCCTCCAGGTTTAAGGTACTTCACTAAGCACGACCCTCTAAAGAGTTATGTCCCTCATGCCGGTTAGACTCTTTTTTTTAGTAAATAAAATAATGTTTTGAGTAATTTCTGCTCGGTTACCTCAGTAGGGTACATTTGACCACCAGAAGATATATTCGATAACTCATGGACGAGATCCAATACTTCGTAAATACCGCTACCAAAGTTCATCCACCACCCAACTAGTATACAAGACGCTTACCATCTCCTACCTAGCTACAGAAGTAAGCAGTTTGAACCTCCGATTTTATTTGGTCTATAGGCTTTTAAATATATACTCCCAAATCTGGAGGAAGAGTGTTCATGAGAACCGTTCGGCTTTGTGTGTGAGAATCCAAAAGTTCCTAGCGCCAGGCTTTGATTAAGAGTGTTTGGGTTCCAGAGCTAAGCCTATTATGGTTCGTTTGAGAACTTCCAGCAGTAAAGCCATGCCATTTTTCCAACAATCTTGGATTTCAAATTATTAACCCCCGTCTCTTTTCATGTTATTCCTTGCAGCATGCATCATTCCACAGCCACTGAGGGGACAAAAAGTGAATACGGCGCGTATGGACGAAGCAGCCTTACCCTCCGATGTTATCTTACCGCGGCCACGCCTTGATGGACGCATTGTTGGTGGCTACAAAGTAAATATTACCAATGCGCCACATCAGATTTCACTACAGACAAGCGGTGGACACTAGGGAGGGTCGAAAATTTAATTTTAATCAAATCCCTTGGTAATAGTGAAAATATATTGTATCATGAAGTCAACAACAAGCCTGCAAAATATTAGTGTTTTATTTTAGTTGTAAGAGCCCGCGCATCGACCGCCAAGTGACCCACAGCACCCTAGTCAAATAAGATCAATTCTTGTTAAAAATTCTGGGTTCAGCAAACAGTTTTGTTGTAAAAAGTCAAATTTCATTTCTCGCAGCCCTTTAGTTTATCGTTAATCTCAAAGTTATCTGTTTTCAATAATATATGAATTGTTCCCTTGATAACTGCACTGGCCTAGAGTCAAAAGATGTAAAGAACAGCATTAATATTGCTGTCGTGCATTTAGATCGCTGGTTCCAAATATTTTAATCTTTTTTTAATATTAGCTATAATTTGCGATTTTTTGCAAATTTAGGGACAATTTCGGTAACTCTAATAGAAAAGTCATTATTTTCCATCATCGTGGAAAAATTTTGTTTATGCAAATGAGTATGAGAACACTGAATAGGCACAACTTCTAGAAACACTAATTAGTTTACTAATGTTTAGGCATACAATATAAAAATTTCAAATATAAGAAAATGACAAAAAATTTTGTTCAAAATTTCTTTTATTTTAAAATAATTTGTTTATAATCTGAACGATTTTAATCAAATTATTATCAAAAATCAATAACATTAAGTATCGCCCTCAATTTGGTGATTATTACGCACCGATAGAGTAGCATTTACCAAAGTTATATCGAAAAATTTAAGTGGATCTCTAGTTTTTTATAAAAAAAATTCTCTTCAATTGTATAAATAACTTTTAGATGATAGAACCGGATTACAGAAAAGTGTGCCAGGGAGTGACTTTTTTCGTTCAAGCTAAATGCAAAGCAATATCGTCCAATTGGAGAGTCCTCAAAAGGATTTCCCAGGATATGTTAAAGACTATTGCATTTACCTACAGTCACTTTTTTCACATAATGGAATTAACTAAAATATTTATGTATATCTAAAACCTTATTGCACATCCCCTACTTTCATATAACGGCAGATTTAGAAACCGCGAAAAATTTTCAAGACTGCATAAATGGACTTAAAACTTCTCACCCTAATGGTATTATGTTAATGTATGTAAATACTTATATGCTGGAAACTACTATTAACTTATCAAACGATTCCTAATCTTTCAAAATACATGTTTGACCTCATTCACCACGATCTTGAAAACTGACCATATCTAAATATAAACATTCGAAAACATTACAACGTTTGAAATAAATCTCGTTTCACTTTTTTGAATTTTTCACTTGGTTGCTGAAGTAATGAAGAATTGAAAATTCATAAGGGAAATTAAAGTTTTTGGAAGATTTATCTTAATACCTTAAAAACTTGTAAACTTATTGAAAAATGATAAATGAACGTGAGATACTAAATTTAATAACCCTTAATTTGATATATCGTCCTGTTTAGAACAATTAACACATTGCATAGATATTACAAGCCAAAGTTTAATTTTGAAAACTCATACACTTTGATTCAATTGCGCGGGCTAAAGATAAGTTGTAAATTAATCTTTCGTGACCAATAACAATTGGCTTAAACCTAAGCCATCATAATATTACTATTACAATACGGTTAAATGCCTTTTATTTTCCACCATACAAAATCGACCCAGCCTAGTGGACACATATGTGGAGGTTCGATTATAGCGGTAAGTTAGCAGAAAAGGCGATTTGTTTTTAGCAGAAGAAGACGCACACTTCCCCGAAGATTACGGCGACCAGGCTTGGTAAATCTAAGGCGTGGTCTCGTAATATATGAAATATATGGATACTTTCGAGGTTGTCTCTATAAAGGCACCCTCATACCTAACTTACTTCATTGCCTTAGTAAACTCTTCTCTTTCTTTCCGCTTAGCCTCGCTGGGTACTAACGGCCGCTCATTGTACTGCGTAAGTTCCTTAGTTTTTATGCATCTCATCCTTATCTACTTTAATCTCCATCTCTTTCAGCGGAAAAACCGCCGAAAAACTAAAGGTACGCATCGGTTCTTCGGAAGCTTCTAGCGGCGGACAATTGCTGCGCGTCAACGAAATTGTACAGCATGAAAAGTTCAATTACTCCAATGTGGATTACGATTTCTCTTTGCTGCGTCTCGATAAGGAGATCCAATTCTCAGAGAATAAAAAGTCGGTCAAGTTGCCGGGAGCGAGTGACGAATTCATGGATGGCGATATTTGCTATGTGACCGGCTGGGGTAATACGCAGAATGAGAGCGAATCACGGCAATGGTTGCGGCAGGCTGAGGTGCCGATCTTCAATCAGGATCTCTGTTCCGAGAAGTACAAACAATTTGGTGGCGTTACAGAGCGTATGATTTGCGCTGGATACCTCGAAGGTGGCAAAGACGCTTGCCAACGCAACTCGGGTGGTCCGCTGACCAACAAAGATGGTGTGCTGGTGGGTGTGGTGTCGTGGGGTTATGGTTGTGCCAGACCGGAATACCCCGGTGTGTACTCGCGTGTGCAGTATGCGCGCGAGTGGTTGCGGCAGCATAGTGGGGTTTAGCGTACGTTTATGAAATTGTAAATTGTTGTAAAAATGAATTAAATAAGACGAAAATAAGTGTGACCTTGATGATTTTAAAAACGAGTCGATAGAATCGAGCATGTATTGAGATTGCAGTACTCTTTGCATTGAAATTCCGTTTTTTCTTTATAAATCGAGCATCTTACATCTTCGAAAATAACCGAAATTCATTTTGATAGAGACGTTTTGGTAGAAGTCCAAGATCGACGCATAGTACAAGGAAGTCTCAAAAGTAATTTGCATATGTGAATATCTGGTACCCACCCTATTTGTTTGGGGAATCACAACTATGATGCCGGGTTCCTAGAATATGAAATCACAAGTATAGAATCCTTAGTCGGTACCTTTTTGGCTGTTTGGGCCATTTTTGCATTCGGTGGCTTCTGCTAGTTCTACCATTGCCAAATTGGAAACTGCACGATTTTACAAAATCTCAAAAATTATATGGCCGTCTTGTTTGATTGAAATTAAAGCCACAAACTCTTGTGGAGGTAGGCTTTATTCCAGCTGCGAAATTCCCACAACCTTACAATCTCGTAGAGTGAGATTACACATTCTAGTTTACATCGATCTCTGTTGTAGTAAATAAAAAATAGGTATGTGATAGATTCTCCTCATACAACGCAATCCAGATTTCTGGGCACGAGTGAACCGGAAACAATCGAACCTTCTGACATCAAACAGTATCGGGCGGACAGTTAGAGTACCACTGCCGTGGAAGTTATTGGATTTGGATGAGGCATGCCAAGCTGAAAGCAAAGATGCTGCCTATAAAGGCACGTGCCATGCCGTTATTGGGCGTTGAGAGCTGATGAGAGGGAACGTGCAGATAAGGTGCTAGAGAACGAAGATATTGAGATGCTGGCCAACACCCTAGTACCTATAATTTCGACCAGTCCAATAACTTCCGGAAGGTTTAAAGACTGAAGCGTATTTCTGGTAGAACTCCAACGGTAGACTGATGCTTAAAATATACTCAACTAATCGGGAGGAACGCTCCTCTAAACTGCGCCCATCTATGATCTGACGTAATCGACGTTTCATTACGAAATTCGAATAGCAGTAGCGTCGATAAAAACTGACAAGCCTACAAGATGATCCATCTTAATATGACCTTGAAGAGCTCCTATGCAAAGCATGACTACCGATCAAGAATCAAGAGCCCCGCAGAATGGACGCTGATAGCCGAGCCGAGATAGTAAATGCAGGAAATAAACTTCAAAAGTGAAAAGTCGCGCAGACCCAACAGAGTAGAAGCTGATCGTAGCCGAAGATAAAGCTGATAAATGCGAGAATAAGAGTTTTTGACTTTGTTTCAGATCTGACTTGCGCTGAAATGGGATATACTGCAATAACACAGAGGAAATTTGTTTGGGGGTTATAGGAAAGGGAAAGTTTTTGGAAAAGGTTCCGTGGTCTCTCCCATACAAATCTCTGGATGTATTTGTAGGGGTATTCGAATTTTTTATGCGGATTTGTCAATATCGTACTGACGGAAAAAAATTTAGTTGATGGTAAAGGGAACGGGGCGCGTCCCAAATCGGTACTTGAGCGGAAGATCGACCTATCTCGGCAGCCAGCTCGATAACGCCCTATCTCAGAAAGGTTTTCAAGAGCGACCTACTTCAGAATTTCATTTAAAAACACCCTATCTCAGAATATGGTTGAGGAATGCCCTCTCTCAGCTGCCGATTCAAAAACGCCCTATTTGAGAAAATTTTCTATGTCGATCTTCCACTCAGGTGTCGATATAACCTAAAATTCTCATGACACATATCTCTGGAAGCAGTTAGCTAGAATATTGAGGTGTGCTAATTTATCGGTGCCACGTTTTTGAATTGTAGTTGAAAATGTTAAAATCCGGGCGCGGCTCCTCATGGAAAGTTACACGTCCATGGGGCGTAGCCTTGGAACCATTTTAAGATAAACTTAGACGGACTCATATCTTTCATATTACCATAACAAAGACTACCCTGCAGACGAGATTGTATAATTCTATAATTTTAAACATCCTTAATACTTTAACTCGCTCGTTAAAATCATTTTGCGTTTTTTTTATAAAAGCGTGGGGTGAAACACGCGGATATAAGCTGGTGCCAAACTAATGGGAGGGGTAGTGGGAGAATGAATCTTTTTACTATACATATACACCACTGGAATAAATTTGAAGTGCTTTGACTGCTGCTTTTATTACAAAAAAAAAAAAAAAAAAAAATTCTGACATGTACATAACTTAAAATGGGGCACCGTATTGGCTGCATTCGTCACATTCGCCCGAGAAAATGTATAGAATCGAGTAGGATGTTGGACGTAGGAATAACTTACACCGCACAAGAAAGTTAAAGCAGTGAGTGGCGTCAATGTCAATGCCATTAGTTTAGTGGAAATTGTGAATAATTTATGCACGCAGAGATGAAACTTAAATTCCGAACTACGTCACTTGGTCTGACGTACCAGATTATGCCTGCTATTATACTAAATGAGCTGCTGTGGGAGGCCTTTGCCAGTTTTTAAACGCACATAAAAATTACACGCAAACATTTTAAATTTTGTCTCGACTTGCTTTTTAAACTAAACTACTACTTTATTTTTAATATTTTTATTGAGCTTTGTACCACGATTGTTTATTAGGAAAAATTGAAAAAGCAACAAAGTCTAAGCGGTAGAAGTTCGGTTCGATCCCTGCTGAAAAAGAAGTCTGATGACGAGATGTGGTGATCTCCGAAATATTGCTATAACTTCTACCGCTTAGACTTTGTTGCTTTTTCAATTTTTCCTAATAAACAATCGTGGTACAAAGCTCAATAAAAATATTAAAAGTAAAATGTTAACAAGCCACAATAACATTGACATAAACTACTACTTGTTGGCAAATAAAACCCATTAGTTAGGCAGTTGTGCAATTAGTTAAACTACGCTTTATCAATACTTCACTGATATACCAAAAATCGTATGAACATACATACATAGTATGCACACGTAGGTATGTAACGAATATACCGAATTGATGTGCTATATCATCATTATGGTTATTTGTCTCATTCAATAATGCAAAGTAATTGTTTAGTAGGAAATTAGCTACATCCACATACACACATATACAGTAATATGTATATTTGACGTGTCGACTGAATATCGCTAGCTTATAGCGGTACATTTATTCTATATTCTATATATATTTTCAAATTAAAGTTTTCTAAACCTCTCTATTGTGATACTTTTTCAAATAACTTAAGCCCTGAATTCAAATTGAGATTTAAAAGAAGTGACAACCCCCTTACATGTAGTTTAGAAATGAAGCCCTTTCAAAACGATTTCGATTGATACCCTTTATTGTAATACTTCGTTGAATATTTATATTTAAGCTTTTAAACGTTGGCAACCTTTTTAAACCATTTTCGTCTCACACTCATATTGTGATACATACATACGTAAACATAGTACCTAATTCCTATAATTCAAGTTGAATTTTAATTTTCAATTATGTATGTGGAAACCCTGCTAGACATATGTAGCTTAGAAATAAAGCCAAGATTCTAGCCTATATGTTTTGTAATAACTCATTTAGCTTATAATATAATTGTATTTGAAATTAGGTTTAAAACAGGTGGTAACCCTTTTTAGATACCTCAAGCTGCACATTTCTAAACACTATCACGCTTGATACTTTAATCTGAGTATAATAAATATTCCAATTACCTAATTCCTTTAATTCAATCAGAATTTGATTTTTCAAACAGTTGGCAACCCTCCTTCATGTAGTTTAGAACTAAACCCCTTTTCAAAAACATTACGATTGATACCCATATTGTATTATTTTATTTAAAGAGGATGTAAGAGGAGAAACATTACGAGCATAAGCAATACATTTGCGCTCCTATGGCAAGTACGCATCGGCTTAGAAAAACAGTTTTAATATAAAATGCCATACACTGTTTAATTGTTTATTAAGTAATAGGTCACATTGCCTATTGTGCTAATGTTGTGCGAGATGTCGTCATTACTTATGACTTTATCAAAGTCATGCCATGGAAAATAACAGGGCAATTTGCTAATAAATACAAATGGAAAACTAGAAAAGCAACAAATTGAATTGCGCCGAACAAAGAAGATTGAGAATAAAGAAACTTGTTGGAAAAGCGTATACATGCATTAGGTTGACAAAATTTTGTTTCTTCCATTAAGTCAACATTACAGAACGTTTCGAATAGAGGATTTAAGAGAACTTATCAGAAATAAGTTTTCAGGGAACGAGCAAATAACGGGCCAGCTACTTTGGTCATTTCTTATGTGATGTTAAATGAGCAATTTCTGTTCTACGGTCGAACATAAGTCACAGCAAGCGAAGAGTTTATCTAGTAAATTACTATTGCCCCATCAGAACTTAACTTCCAATCTTATATAAACGACTCTTCAACTTCCGCACATAGAATCTGTGGGGATCTGACTTTTTGGCTGGTTGAGAAATTGATTCCACTTGGTTTAAGAATAATCCATCTTTTTCTCGCTTCCTCGCTAAAATCAAACCACAACAACAATAATTCGTATGATAAAACTAGGAATTATTTTTTGCATTATAGTTCGACTACATATTCATATATGTATGTACATAGCAGGGTTGTTGCGAATATTCGCATTCGCATTCGCAACCGCGGAGCTTCCGAATTAAATGCGAATGCGAATATTGAAGGGATCGAAAATACTAGTTTATTTTTTTTACGAGTCAAACTTAGCCAAATATTTTTCATTCCGAAATAAAAGTCATTTCCTGAAAATAAACAAAGCGCTTATCCAAATAAAACAAATTTGATATCATATGAAAGAGTACTGAAACATTATTTAACTGTTATTTTCGGTCCCTGGAATATTGAGAAAGTGCACTGATAAAACGTATATCGTCACAGAAGAAAGGATTACAAATAAATTACAAAAACAAAAATCGAAAAACGCTGATGACGTTGAAGGTTCTCCAAATTCAGAAACAACCAAGAGAATGAGAATGAAGAATTCTTTGGAAAACAACGGTGTTTAAACAAT